ATGGACCATCATCTTCATCTTATTATATACTTATATATTATTATTAATTAATAAAAATTAATAATAATTATTAATAATTAATTAATAATAATTATTATAATTAATTACTAATAATTATTACTAAATAATAATTGTTGTAATAATTAATATATTATATAATTATAATTAATTCTAATATAATTATAATAATTATAATAATTATAAGTATTATTATTATTAAAATTGAATAAAGTTTTCGTTATGATTTTAATTATTATTAGTATAATTATATATAGGTGATTATTCAAAATTCTCCACGCTGATTGGCTGCTGTTGAGGTGATTATTACGCGATAATCACCTAAGCGATTCTCAAAATAGCGGCCGAAGCCGTTTTGTCAATCAAATGACGAAGAAATGTGTATTTTTAATTTTTTTCTAAATAATCACCTATGAAATTATACTAAAACAATTATTCACCTCAGGCTCGGTGATTATCGTGAATAAAAACTCGACTTCGTCTCGGTTTTTATTCACCGATAATCACCTCGCCTTCGGCGAATAATTGTTAATTATTAATCCAACATCCTGTGGGCCGCCAAAAAACCCGCGTGCAATTACACAGTACAGATCTTCATCACGGGCTTAAAACTGTAGGGAGCCTCTTTAAGAATGCGTTTTTGACTCGTGTTCACAGATTTTTGACTCGTGTTCACTCGTGTTCGTCATTTTTGACTCGTGTTCACAGATTTTTGACTCGTGTTCACTCGTGTTCACAGATTTTTGACTCGTGTTCACTCGTGTTCGTCATTTTTGACTCGTGTTCACAGATTTTTGACTCGTGTTCACTCGTGTTCGTCATTTTTGACTCGTGTTCGTCAGTTTTTGACTCGTGTTCACTCGTGTTCGTCATTTTTGACTCGTGTTCACTCGTGTTCACAAATTTTTGACTCGTGTTCACTCGTGTTCACTCGTGTTCTGACTCGTGTTCACTCGTGTTCACTCGTGTTCACTCGTGTTCTGACTCGTGTGGTCTTTTAGAATAGATTACCGTATTAGCGAATTGTTAACAATACAATTTCGCTTGTCTTTCAAAGACAAAGACCATATATCGCTAGAATACTATTGTTTAATACAATTTCTTACCCTGAATCGAACGTTGATATTTTTATCGTTATTGCGCCATGAGGCATTACAAATACAAGGACAAAGGTAGTGCGAGTGATTTGTTTATAACAATACGTACAGCGAGCGATTTGTCAACATACAATTTGACCAATTTCGCTTGATTTTCAAAGGCCATAAATCGCTAGAATACTGCTGTTTAGTAATACATTAGACATCCGTGAGTACAATTTCTTACACTGATTTCTTACATTTCTTACACGCTATTTATGGATAATTGGGTAAAATCGGCAGGAGCCTTATGGATAATTGAGGGAAAATTAGGCAGCTCATTAATATTCTATTTTGTGGCTATCGACGGAAATCTGACATCCACCATGCGTGCCGAAATCTATACTCGTCTGGGGCACAGGTTCCCCAGCGAGTAATAAGACGTCGGCTCAGGCGTACACTCGTGCTCCAAGGGTACTGGTTAGCATCACTTGAGGGACACAATTATGCTCGTTGTGGGAAGCGTGGAGCTAATCGTTATTAGTAAGGCTATGTATAGTTACCCTGCGCGGATACTATATACAACACGGCGGTCACAATCGTCAAATGGAATAACAGTTGGTACAATATTCAGTAGACATTTCTTGAGAGATCAATATTCTGTTAGATCCATTGAAAGATGTAACTTTTCATTTACTGACGCTGATGAAAATGTGAAACTGATTAATATTAATGAAAACTTTCTAACAATTAGTATTGCGTATTCTAACAATTTTAAAACAGCAGTGAAAAAGGACCTCTCGCAAAATTTCAAATTCAAATTAACCGTAATTTATTGTGGTAATTTAGACAGCTCTATTCATTGAGGATCATTTGTGTCGCATCAGCGAATTACTAAAATAGGTTATGGCTGATTTGAACTTGAAATGGTATACTTTTGAAGGGTTTACTTTTTTTGAAACACCCTGTATGTTGTTATTATGTTCTATATAAAAACATAACAATTCCAAGATGACGTCACAGGGTGACGTCATTGATGTCACTAGAATAGGCTCTGCCGTATAGAGCACATATTTATAAATTATATATGGCGTATGGGTTTATGTATGTAGCGTAGATTTCACTAAGACTTGTAGTGTTAGTTTGTTGTGTGTCCTGTATGGAATAAATAGAGAATAATACATGGGTGCGCGGAAATACCAGATTTATTTCGAGTGTTGAACATGATATCTCACGAGTAAGCGCAGCGAACGAGTGAGATATCATGTTTAACACGAGAAATAGATCTGGTATTTCCAAGCACACATGTATTGTTCTGTTTATTATATAAACAATATTTCTACACCACCATAACTCAAACGAATAAAATCCAAACAAATTTA